GTCACCTAGATGCTGGTTGGGACGATAAATTTTGTGAAATAAGGACAAACGAGATAATTTTCTACGCAATGAAAGATTCGGAAGATGTAAAGTTAGTTTCATAGATGATACACTGGAAAAACGTGACAAATTAGACAAAATTAAACGTGCGCCACGATTTTGTATGGATTCAATTTGAGTAATTAGAAATGCATGGCCTGGGTCCCACACCGAACTCGCATACTCAAGCTTGGATCCAACGAGGGTCTTGTACATTAGTAGTTTTAATGATGAAGGAGCCCTTGAGAAGTTGCGGCGTAAGTAACCTAGCATGCGATTAGCGTTGTTAGCAATAAAATTAATGTGAGCTTGCCAGGAGAGGTCAGATGTTATATGGACACCTAGGTACTTGTATGATGTCACCTGTTCAAGAGCAGAACCAATGTTGCAATGAGGAAAGTTAGTACAGGCAGCTTTCCGTGAAATTCTCATTACTTTACATTTACTGGCATTAAGGCGCATTTTCTAGACGTCACGCGAGTTAGTAATGGAATTAAGGTGAGTCTGAAGAAACGACGTATCAGTATCAGAATAGATTACACGATAAATGACACAATCACCTGCAAACAACCTTATGGATGACTGAACATTGTTAAAGAAGTCATTTATGTATATGAGGAAAAAAAGGGGGCCGAGGACGGAACCTTGCGGCACACCTGAACTAACAGGGCAGGGAAGAGAGTCTGAGTCGTTTGCAGATAGAATCTGTGTTTTGTTAGAGAGGAAATTTTCGATCCATGGAAGAATGTTAGAGTCAATGTTTAGTTGTTTTTTTTTTAAATTTTAAGCAGAGCAGTTGGTGAGGGACTAAATCAAAGGCTTTCGAAAAATCAAGAAATATGCAGTCGATTGAAAGATTATTGTCTAGCGCAGAGAAAACATCGTTCGTGAAACAAACCAGTTGCGTTTCACATGAGAATGATTTACGAAAACCATGGTGACGATATGTGAAAAATGAGTTCGATTCAAGAACGTTAACAATGTTAGAATAGATGATGTGCTCCAACATTGTACATGGGACACTAGTTAAAGATATAGGCTTGTAATTAAGAGGAGAGTGAGCATTACCTGATTTAAATAAAGGTACCACCTTACCCACTCTCCAATCGCTGGGCAACAAACAAAGATCTAGGGACTGCGAGAAAAGTTTAGATAGTATTACAGAAGAGAGCATTTCAGTATTCTTCAGAAATTTAGAATTAATCCCGTGAGTTGCAGATGAAGAAGAAACTTTCAAATTTTCTATTATGCTAAGCACACCAATGCAATCAATTATAACGTGATCCATAAGTGGAAAGGCTGCAAGATCATATTCAGGATAAGAAACAAAAGACAGTGACATAAAAGACTGAGAAAACACATAATTTAGTAAAGATGAGCATTCCGACCTTGGGACTGAGACACCATTATCGTCGACTAGCGATATCACACTCTTTTTTGTCCACCCATTATATTCCAAAATTTCTTAGTATCATTTGTCAATAAGGATGGTAGGGTATCATTAAAAAATATGTTTTTTGGCTTTTTCCGCTTCATTCTTAAAGAGGGTTGCAACATTCTGATACGCACACCACAAGTCAGGTTTATTGAACTGCTTTGCTTTGCAGAACAGTCGTTTCTTTTTATTTCGCAGGTGCTTTAAAGAAACAGTAAACCAAGGGGACCGGTTTTTGTACGGGATAATTCATAGGGTACGTGTTTGTTTACAAGATAATTAACTTTGACTTTAAAAATAGACCAATGGGATTCTATAGTGCGATTAGGAAAATTCTGCATATATTCGTCCAGAAATTGTGCCAATTCATCATTGATGACATGGTAGGTAGCTTTGCTGTAATCGCGTATACGTTTAGGCATACTCTTAAGGCAAAAAAAAAAATTTGGGGGTTTTACGTGCCAAACCTACGAGGGCATCTGGCACGCCCCAGCGGAAGACTGAGATACTCTTAAGGCGACGAAAATTGCCTTCAAGTGTGAAGTGAACAAAGCAGTGGTCACTCAGGCCTGGTAAAAAACTTAGAGACTGAACGAGGTCAGGAGTAGTTGTGAGGATTAGATCCAATATGTTCGAACTTGACGCGGTGACCCTGGTAGGTTGAGTTATTAACTGAGAGAAATTAAAATCTGTGCTCAAATTTATGAACTCAGATGTTTCACCGGAAATGTCAGACGGAACAGGGAACATACCAGACCATAATATTTTCGGAAAGTTAAAATCACCTAATAAAAAAAAAAACTGGCGAGTGCGGAAATCTGACAACAATGCTGTTTAAAACGTCATGAAGTTGTGCACAGAAAGTCAAGGAAGCGTTTGGTGGCCGATAACAGGCACAAAAGATCATGTCACGTTGATTAATGCGTACACACACGGATACCATTTCCAAGCATGATGCATGAGAGATATGATAAGAGTGCTGATTTTCTGCGACGGCTATTATTACACCTCGTCCCAATCTATTGACGCGATCAGAGCGATAAATATTACATATTTAATGATAAATATCCTGAAGCGCCTCTCCTGTCGTCCGTGTTTCTTTATTGTCCTCGTTTGTTCGCGCTTTTTAACCTTTTACTCAAAAACTTCTTTGTTATCAATTTCGGCAGACAACAACGTTTCAGTTAGTATTTTCACATCGGCGCTACACGTGTCGATTAATGCTGACAGTTCCTCTCGTTTGTTAACGACACTGCGGATATTTGAAAAGAGAAATTTTATTAACGGGAATTACGGTGTTACGTGATAGTTAGGATAATGGTACTTCATTGTCTACGACATTATTCGAATTTTGACTTGCGTGAGCAGGTGATTCCTTGTTGGCGTATACTTCACAGACAATGTCTGATGAGGGACAATAGATTAAGCATTTTCTGTTGATGTACAACTTATTGTAGCGACTTGAAAACTGCTGATTACTAGCTTTTCCATGCTCGAGCAGTTTATTGCGCGAGGTTCGAGTGGAAATGCAGATGTCCCTACCAACACTAAAACCAAACGACTTCAACTTCGACCTGGCTGACAAAATAGGATCCCTGTCCTTTGAATTTGAAAACTTTGCAATTACCGGACAGCATTTATTTGGAAAGAACTTGCCCAACCTATGAGCGCGAGAGATCGCTTGATCAGATAGTTGCAAATTCAAAGCAGACGAAACTACCTCAATTATTTGTTTTTCTGGCACAGCCCACGATTCTGATTGTTTGTCAGGTAAGCCGCGGAAAATTAAGTTTTCACGCCTAGATCTGTCTTCATAATCATCTAAACGACGATTTAGAGCGACTGTTTCGTTCCGAACGGCGTTAGACACCGCGCTAGCCACATAAAGGTCCGCGGAGTTGTCCAAGGCAGCTATTTTTTCTTCTGCGACAGTAAGCCGATCGTTTATGCTGGTCATTTGTCTCTCAAGATTCTGCTGAATTTCTTTCACTTCATTTATTTGAGACAAGACCTCAGTGTGGTTTTTGTCCATTTTGCGATGTAGAGCCCTCAGCATTGACACTAAATCGTTAGAGCTTTTGCTGCGGTCCTCCTTAGGTGGGCCTGGATTCTGTTGGACATCACCCCCCCAAAAGCAATAGTTTCACAACATAAAGGCAATCACAAATAGTACCAAGAAGAACATTTGGGCATGGCAAGAGCAGCAGGTTAACATTGTTCGTGCGCTTACAATGTAACGAAGGGATGGGACTAACCTGCTGGAGGAAATACAAGAGGGTTTGACGAGTCTGCATTCCTGCCGCTTGCAAATGCCCACTGAAGTCCCAGGAAGACGCTCCGTGTTTTAAAGGATGCAGGAGTGTTGATGTCACTGACGATGAAGCCAAAGTAGCCGGGAAAGAGCACCGATGAAAATTGATGTCTTCAAACGACGAAACCGAACAGCATTGTTGCAGTGACGAGCCAAGCAGGGTCGGACGACTCTGCGAAGCTGACGACGTGCCATTGGGTGGCAGCAGTGAGCAAGATATGCAGGATGATAGCACCTGCACGAGGAAATACAAGAGGGTTTGACGAGTCTGCATTCCTGCCTCTTGTAAATGCCCACTGAAGTCCCAGAAAGACGGTCCGTGCTTTATAGGGTGCAGGAGTGTTGATGTCACTGACGATGAAGCCAAAATAGCCGGGAAAGAGCACCGATGAAAATCGATGTCTTCAAACGACGAAGCCGGGCAGCATTGTTGCGGTGACGAGCCAAGCAGGGTCGGATGACTCTGCGAAGCTGACGACGTGCCATTGGGTGGCAGCAGCGAGCAAGATACGCAGGATGATAGCACCTGCACGAGGAAATACAAGAGGGTTTGACGAGTCTGCATTCCTGCCTCTTGTAAATGCCCACTGAAGTCCCAGAAAGACGGTCCGTGCTTTATAGGGTCCAGGAGTGTTGATGTCACTGACGATGAAGCCAAAGTAGCCGGGAAAGAGCACCGATAAAAATCGATGTCTTCAAACGACGAAGCCGGGCAGCATTGTTGCGGTGACGAGCCAAGCAGGGTCGGATGACTCTGCGAAGCTGACGACGTGCCATTGGGTGGCAGCAGCGAGCAAGATGCGCAGGATGATAGCACCTGCACGAGGAAATACAAGAGGGTTTGACGAGTTTACATTCCTGCCGCTTGCAAATGCCCACTGCAATTTCCGAAACGCCCTCAACAAGTTCATGTACTGTGGACCGTATATAAAGAAGGCATAAATAAATGCAGTAGCTGAGTTTGAGACGTTGTCTTCTGTCTAATTTTTTGGTCAATTCTACTTTTGAATGTTTCACGTTTCTTCCCCAGTTTGAGGTAATTCAATATAATGGGAAACTTACACCAGCTCGCCAGCAAGCTCATTGTTTTTTGTTTTTGTTGCAGAAGACCAATCTATTTCTGCTAAATGAGGTAATCTACATTCCCACCTCTAATTTCAGGTGTTTCGCTTAACGGTGTACAATTATTTGTATTTGTCTGTGTAATCAACTTACTTGATTTATGTTGTCCTCCAGTTTCCACATTACATTCTTCTTCACGGTGTCCATGCATAGTGGAGGCATAAAGCACAACTTGAGAGACCGATCACCACGAAATAAAAAAAATGACCTGGTGCTTCTTATGGTGACTGAGTGATAGTTTCCCCCTTTCTACCCCAGAGATTACTGAACACCGTAAACCTAGAGTGCCTTCGTGTGCGCATCAAGCACACTAAGTAAACTCACCATCACTGCTTGCTTTAGTTATCAGCAAGATTGCCTGTTTTATGGGTGCCTTTTTGGGGATGCTTGGAGCAAGTGTTTTTTTAATAATAATACTTTATTTCCATATATTTTTACGAGATCCAGGCTTGCAAGGGCCGCAGAAAGCAGTATGCCCATACTGAAAGGCCAAAATAATTGTAATATCGAAATATTGAAGTTCCTCAAATTCAACTTGCGATTTAAAAGAAGAAGTCCCACCTTCGATCTTGCCAACTTCAAGGAACTTATTCTACATTATATAGCTGTGTAGTTCCATTAAAAACGTGTGAATTATTTTGCCTCCAAATGCACAAAAAAGACATGTTACGCAATATTTGCGAGTTCGGTCCGCTCTGGGAGCTGTTTGATGCACTGTAAATAGTTAGAGCAACCATTTTTATGTATCTAATAGGCCCTCTTGGAAACAGCATATCAGAAAAAGTTCAGTGCTATATCTTGAAGACATTTCCAGATAACAACTAAGAAATATTCGGTAAAAATGTCAAAGTTACATACTTCGTGTATTTCGAAGTGCTGTATTTTGAATGGATACCAAATAATGAAACATATTGCTAATGGAACACCACGGCGATATAGTGTATAATAATGTTCTTGAAAAAGGAAGAGTTGTTTTAATTGCACGTTAAAGTTCGACAACTTTTCACATTCAAGCATGTTTGAAGCGTTGTAAATATTTTCACTTATGAACTCGAGTAAAAATTTATTTTTACATAAATGAATATTTTCGGAAGAACATACGAAAAAAAGTTCGGTGCTAGATGTTGAAAACATTACGAGATATCCACTCGCAAATATCGGATACAAATGTCAAAGTAGCCGAGATAGCGCATTTTTGACGCGTGATATGAATATATGTGAACTATATAAATATCAGTGGATATAGTCGCTAAACGCTACTATTTCTACAAAATGATTGTGTTTTCAGTTAATTACGTGCCATCAAACTTTACACAAAGGGTGAAGTTTCAAAAAAAAAAAACGGAGTAAAGCGGTTTTTCTTTTTTTTTTTTCTTTCGAAATAATGTTTTCTCGCGAAAACATTTGTGATTACGTTCCTTCCGCACTCTGGGGAGTAACAGAAAATTATGAAGGAAAACAAAAATGTCTACCATACACGCGTGGGTTTTCTTATCTGAAGAGATTTTATATTGCGGTTACGCAGAATAAAAATGACAATCTAATAGCTTTCTGTGTACTGCCATCTTTCCTACCGGGCTGTGGAATGGTTCTGAGCATGCGCAATAGCTCTCCTCTACGGAATATTGTACGCCGCGCCTGCGTCCTCAACCCAGTTACTCGGCCCTTTATAGATTGGTGATAAGCGTTCTTCAGTTTTTCTGTTCCAGCCTTGACTGTATCACAGAAAGGCTGACGCCGAGTATGCAGGCTATTCACGTGCTAAACATCACCCGCAAATATGGCCGCCGAACGAGTAAGCAGAGCTTCTATTCGTGAGCGCTATGAAAAGAAAAAAAAACTAAGGCAAAGCTAAATTATAAATTTGGGGGTTGGCGTGCCACAGCAACGAAGGGCATCTGGCACGCCATAGCGTAGGACTGAGGATTAATTTAGACCACCTGGGAGATCTTTTCATGTGCAGCCCAAATCTAAGTTACATGGCGTTTTCCACAATAAGCCTCCGTAAAATTGCGGGCTCCGCGGCCGGGAGAGTACACACTGTTATGCGAGTGAAAGTATATGCCGTTTAAGTTTATGTTTATGTAAACCTTTAGTCTTAACTTTCCGCATAATAGTACATAATAGTAATAGCGCAGTGTACAGCATAACTGTATACTGCGCAGCACAGTTAGCACGAAGAAGCAATCACCAGTTTTTTTATGAATTTTGCCAATTAAAATATTGCCATCAAAACTACTAGTACGGTGAGAGGTGCTCATTTGAAGCTCCGAGTGCTCACGTAAAACAGACGATGTGTCGGGGAACTGCGATGGACAAATATAGGCGAACTCTCTTCAGTGACTACCAGCAATCTTGCAAACAATTAACAGCTCCCCATCTCTTGCTTACTCTTCTGAACCACCAGAACGACATAGGGTACGTTTAGCAGCAATTGAGTTTTTTCGTCAGAAAAAGGGTTGATAACTGTAATAACAAAAACGGCTTGACACGACAAAATCAACAATTTAATTAAACGTTTCGCCTCCCATGTGGGAAGCACCTTCAGAAACGCAAAGAGCAATGAGAGTGGCACGAAACGTTCGGCTATTTAGGCATGAAGTTTGTGAACACGTCCCGCAGGGGACCACGGCTCTTGTTAACCAGCAATGAGTCACTTCTGCGTTTGTCGTTCTGGATGAACCAAGGTTTTAGCAGGTGGTGGCCTGACGTCCATGCGTGGTCGACAAGTTCGGATTTGAAGCGGGTGGCGTTCGCGGAATTGGCGACATCCCGTGCGTGTTCAATTAGGGGGGTGTCTGCTCCGACGGCCGTTGCTCGAGCCATGTCCACACGGAGAGGGCTCCTTCAACACCGGAAATAGTAGTGACGTCACTTCCGGTGTCGATGTAGCTTGCCCTGTCTGGGCATGGCTCCTTCGACACCGGTAGTTGAGGGTGACATCACTTCTGGTGTCGCAGCTACCGGTGTTGTTTTGACATGTGCCCCCCGTCATAACTAGTGTGACTGCCACCAAAGGAGGTTGCCGTCACCACTCACTGCCCGACTGCCCTTCCCGAGTCTGCGGTCTGGTCAAGTTCTCCTGTTCCGGGTTGGTTTCACGCAAGCTTTTTGCACTCATTTGAAGTGTTCCATTTATCATTTGCCCCATAACTTATTTGTTGAACCATATTCATTGGTATTTACTGCCATTCTCTGTATTTTGCGCTTTGAACGCGTTAATTTCAATTTGTATCCGGTTGTAAACGAGCATGGTCGCACTGCCAACGTGCCTCGTGTTTTAGTAGCCGGTGATCCTTACTCGAACCAATACTTCAAATGAAGTATTGGTCAATACTTCTCGTCGATTGACCGGAGGGCTGTTGAGGTCGCGGCATCTAGTGGGATAAGAATTGAGAACTTGTTTCACGGTCTAACAGGCTTGCCGATTTTGACGTTGTCATCGTACACGTCGGCACTAACAACACTAGCGTTAGTGCCAGTGTTTGCATCAACAAATCCGGTCATTGGAACGGCAGCGTGGTAACGCTGCCGAGATGCAGGTTATGAATGACTGCTATTGGAAGGTAACCTCCCTGCAGCGCGAGTTTTGTCGCAAAGAGGGGTTCGAGTTCCTCGGCGCCTTGGCCAACGTGTAGCAGCAGTAGATCGGTCACGAGTGCTCGGAACGGACGATAGCCAAGTGAGAGCAGCCCAGCTGGTGACCACAACCAAAAGAAAGAAAGCCCTTTTGATTTCCACTTGCCGCTCCTAAGCGCTTTATAAATGATGGTGTCCTCTGGTGAGCGATACAAAAAACACCACCACCTGAGTAGTGCCCACTACATCTCCCCTTAGGATCTAAAAGTCAGTCGCCTTGCCGGTCCAATCACACAACCGCAACGCGTGCGTCTCAGTCGAAGCCTTCTTGCTGAGGCTCTGGCGATGAGGCTGATTGACCCTCACCAGGCAAAGACTGCTGTGAACTTTTCCCTTGATTTTGTTCACTGGCTGGCAGTTCCTCTGTTGACTGGCCTTTTGAGAAGGGGACAAGATACTGACCGTTTCACTGCAGAGTTCTCCTGGGCGTTTCCACCACATATGACTGTGGTCACTGAGCGGGGCTAAAGACACGGCCTCGGCAATTGACGTCCTTAACTCACACGTCCTCCCCCAACTTCAAGGAGGTCGGAGGACTTGAAGTATGCCGGCGGTTGTGGTTCTTTGCCTGTTGTGACGTGTTTGCGACAACTCTTGCCTTGAAAGTCTGATGTCTTAAGTCGTTCTGGTAGACCAGGAATTCGAGTTTATGGTTTTATTCCCATTAAAAACTTGGCAGGTGAAACAAAGAAATATTGATGATATAAATCATTTCATGGACGAGCTTCGGCCGATAGCTCTTGCTCTTCAGGAAACTCATCTTCATAATCGCTCTCCTCGTATTTTAAGACGTCACCGGGTCTTTAGGAAAGACCGTCTTAGTGATGCTCCCTCTGGTGGCGTGGCAGTAGTTGTACAGGGTGGGGGTCGCCTGCTCTGAGGTCCCACTTTGTACACCACATAAAGCAGTGGCAGCGCGCCTTCTTTTAGACCGCCTCATAACTGTAGTATCACTTTATTTACCACCTAACACTCCATTACATATTAGTGAGTTGCAGGGTCTTGTAGGTCAGCTGCCACAACCCTTATCATTCTAGGCGATTTTAATGCCCATCACCCCCTTTGGGGTAGTATTCGTCAAGACTTTCATGGAGGCGTAGTTGAACGTTTTTATTGGCATCTGGGCTATGCTTTCTTAATGGGAGAGAGCCAAAATTTTTCAGTGCAGCTCACACCACATTTACATCCATAGATCTGTCGATCTCATCCCCCTCATTGTTTCCTTGCTTTACATGGAATGTTCTCAACAACCCTTTTGGCAGTGATCACTTTCCGATTGTTTTAGAAAGCGTTGCTCAGCTGCCTCCACTTTTGAAACGTGTCCCTAGGTGGAAGTTAGATAAAGCTGACTGGTCACTTTTTGTGTTACATTCCACCTTGGACATTTCTCTGCTTTCTTCTCTGTCACCTGAAGATGCTACACTGTATATTACTGAGCAGATAATAAATGCTGCTGAGGTGTCTATTCCACGAACCTCTGGTAATGTGCCAAAAAAATGCAAACCATGGTGGAACAAGGAGTG